TTGGGCAGGCCTTGTTGTTGTTATCTTCTTCATAGAGAGCAATTCCAAAACTGTTAGAAAAGTTTTGATAGAAGTAATCAAGGTCTACTGTGTTGAGTTCTTGTTGACTTAAGGTAGGCATTGTTAAATAGTAATAAGATAGATAAAGATTTTTTAGACTTAGATATATTTTCTAAATAGAAAGTATAATTGTAAAAGTTAATTTGACAAGGGTTGTAGCTAAATACGAGGGTTGTAGTTTAAGGGTGTCACTGGAATGACACAAAAGTGTAACAGAGATGGATAGGGTCACTAATGTGACTCAGGTACTAAACACAAGTAGAATTTGCAGTACAAATTACTGTATAATATTAATAAGAACTAAATATAGAAATATTTTAATTGTATGAATAAGTTTTTATTAATAGGTTGGTTACAAAATATTGGTGTAAATTAATAAGGTATGGATTAGGAAGTGATAGTATGGTTACATAAAAACTGTGTAAGGGAAAAAGGAAACAGGGTGAGGACAAAAGGTAAAAAAAGAAGTTTTGCAAGAGAGTAAATGTTGAATTTAGTTGTAGTTTGGTCAATATTGGGTTAAAAATCTTCGTTTAGAGCTTGTTTTTACTGGGTAAATATATACTACAACTTTACTTAAGAATATAAACCAGATTAAAGCAGTAGAAACTGCAATATGGTTAAAAGTTGTTAACTGGAGGCCAAAGGCTGTCCGTACAGTTTTTTCAATAAGTTTGAAGTATATAAGCTTAATATTTGTATACTAGATGTAAAATAGTAAGTTGAATAAGTTTACTTAGAAGCCCAAGACAGGTTGTCTTAGTAAAATAAAAAGTTATAAGCATTTTTGACAAATAGATTTTTTAGTTAATTTTTATATAATGGATTTGCAGAAAGAGTTTTCTTAAGTTTAGACTAATTTATCTGTGATCTAAACTAATAAGAGTAATCAAAACTCATTTAGTTTTGAATATTAGTAATTATATATAGAGGATTAGTTAAATATTTGATCTATTGGATATATTAAAAATTTATTTATAAACTAATAGAATTTTAATTCTAAAAAACTTAAGAATAGAAAACTAAAAGCTATATAAGAAATTTGGAATTTTTTGATTATTATTGATATATAACTAGGTAGCTTGCTAATTAATTTGGTTAAGAATTTTGTATTATTTTTGAAAGTAGTTTTGTATAATCCATAATATATAATTATATATATAACATATTGTATAAATACTATAATAAATAGATAATTCTAAAAAGAAGTTTTCAAAATTTAAAATATATGCAAAATTGTAAATATTATAAGATATAAAGATAAAATATAACAAATTGTAATAATTACATGTAAGTTGATCTGCAAAATTATTATACTGATTATCTTAGTAAGTAGTAACTTTGTAAAAAATAATATAAATATTATATAATTTGATAAAGTTAATAAATGTACTTTTTTTTTTTAACTTTAGCAGTTATGCTAGTACTTTATTAGAATTTTTAAAACTATACAAATTATATAGAATTTTTCTAATATATAAGTCTAGCATTACTTAGCCACTTAAATAGTATCTAAGTATAATCTGTTACATTATTCTAGTTAAAAATAGACTGCTTATCTGACTGCCACCCTACAATAGGGCATCACCAATCTGATGTCATCTTTTTATAAAAAAGCAAAAACAAAAAAAAATTTTATATAAAAAACAAAACAAAAGTATAAGAATAAATAATAAAAAATACAAATTAAGAAATAAAAAAGGAAAAAAAATAAACAAAAAAAAAGGAAATATGTAAAACTTGCAATTTAATAATATTAGACAGTCATAATTGTATGACAGTGTTAGCTTTTAAAAATTATAAACTATACTAAATAGAAATAACTCTACTATTTTTTTATTTACTTAGATTATTTAACAAAAAACTATATAGAAAAGAAAAAATTTTTGACTTGATTATAGAGGGTTAGTATAGAGTACTAATTAGTCTGAAGACAGTATTTTCAGGTTTTTAATATTTTGAGACATGTGTATAGTCATGTTTGTATTATTGTATTATTTCTAATCTATGTTATCAGCAAACTTTTTAGGAAGTAAATACTGCTAACTGTTTTTGTAGTTTTATATATTGATCTTTAGAAGAAAATAAACTAAACTATCTACTTTTACAAAATTTTCTCAAAACCAGATAAAGGTAAGAGGTGAACCAACTTTGTTGTTTATTTGATAAAAAACTTTGACTTTTATTAATTACTTCTTCTATAGTCTCAAAATGCATTTAAACTGTTATCACAAAACTGTAACTTTTTTTTTAACTTTATTTCAATGTTCAACTATGAATATACAATACTCTGGAAAAGTTTTTATAAAGTTTAATATATTAATTATATTATTTTTCTGTAGTTTGGCTTTTTGAAAAATTTGGTACAAATGATCATTAGGAAGAGTTCAATTGATTTTGATAAATGTATTTTATAATAAGAAAAATAATGTATATATATAGAATAAAGTATAAATTAAGTTTAAAAAACTGTAATATTTAGAATTTACAGACTGTAAGTTAGTATATATATAGGCTATGTGCTGAAAAAAGAGACCAAATTAATTTTTTTTTAAAAAAAAGTTCTTAAATAAAATAGATATAGATTTGATTATCTGATTCAGAACATTTATTGTTTTCAAAAAAATTTTTTTGTCAATTTGGTCTCTTTTCTCAGCACACAGCTCATATATATAATACAGTTTTAGCAACAATAATAAAAGCTGATAAAATAGCAATAAGTTTAGACTTAAATAAGCAAGACTAGTATTTTGTTTAGGCTTAGAATATATACAATATAGTGTTGTTTAAAATTTGAATCTATTTAATACTCATGAAATATTAAGATGTGATTAGATTAACAACTGATTTATTTGTATAAAAGTAAAGTTCTAATAATTATATATTTTGATTTCAATTAGTTAAAGATTATCTATTAAAATATTAGGTTCAAAAATAATTAAAATTAAGTATATTATAATAGAGTATATAAGGTCAAGATAATTGGCATTAAAGTTGAGAGTTTTGTTGTATATATTAACTTATTAAAGAATTGTATAAAGAGATTAATAGGAATATTAATCATATATTTATTAGCAATTGTATAAGATTTAAGAAAACAATCTAAACATGCTTATAATTAAATAGGTAAAAAAGAATAAAGATAAGTAAATTGTGATTCTATATAATATTGCTAGTAAATAATAAAAATAGTTCTTAAAGAAAAAGTTAGTTTCTAGTTTTATTAATAATAATTTAATCATTAAGTACTAAAATAATCTATAGTTTTTGTATAAAGCAATATTTTCAGTTAATAACTATAATAGTTTGCATTAAATAAGAATAAATGATAGTAAAAAATATTATTGTATAAGTAGCTTGTAGTTTAGTCTTCTAAGTAGTTAAACCAAAGTAATTATTTGTCTTTGAAAATTTGATTATAAATATGAATCTATGTTTTCAATTTAGAAGATATAAGTTATTAAATATAGTAAGTTGATTTAAACTAGGTAAACAGGCTCTGTTAAGGTCTGAAGCATTAAGTATTTAATTTTAAATAAATATATAATATAACTTATTTAATAATATATTTATAATATAATAACTAATAAAGTTTTTGAAAATAAAGATTAAAATTAGATTTTTTAAAAGAAAAAAAATTAACTTCATTAAACTCTATATAAATAAATTATTATTAAATAAAAAAGATATATTATACACTAATTACTATAATAAGAAAAAATATTAATATTACTACAAATTTTAACAATTAATACATTATTTTACTACCTGTTGCAAAACACTAAATAGATTAGTTGCACAAACAAAATTCAGTAGTTCATTCAAAATTTTAAGTCAGCATAAATCAAAATTAATAAATTTAGTTAAAATGCCTGCAAATTTTACTAATAAATCAGTAATTCACATATGTACTAAGTAAAAAAATGCTCAGATGTTAGCTTTTTTATACTACAGATACTTGTTTTATTGTATACTGTCAGCTTGTTTTAATGTATTTCAACTCAATTTTTGATTAATCTGCTAAATTTTCATTGTACAACTAACTAATCTATACTTAGATTACTTAATAAAATACATTAATTAATAAAAGTCAATTAACACAAATAAATAAATAAAATATAACATCATAAACTTGATTTATTAAACTATATAATAAAGGTGATATATGTATATTGTAAGAGCTGAAAACATAATCATTATTATGTAAAGCAGATCCAAATGTCAGATATGTCATATATGTTTAATATATCTGATATATCACATATATCATATAAGTAGAATATATAGAATAAATGTGATATATAGAAAAATTAGATAAATCAAATAGGTTTAGTATATTAGGTAAATGCATAATGTAGATAGAAAAAATAATTTATAAATAAAAAACAATTCACCCAGACTAAAGAAAGCCACTGATTACAATCGCAAAAATAACACTAAATACCCAATCCATAACAAAGTACAAGTTCTATAAAAGCTAGCAAATATCAGTAATCTCATTACTAACCTATTCGCTCAAGAACAACTGCAATAGATTACTCGTACTGTCATGTGATCATTGATGTAGGTTACATTATGAAGAGATTTCAGTTCGATTCGACATACTGAACTCTAACCATGATAGAAGAGAAGAATTAGTATAGTTCCAGTTAGTACAGATGAAGTGTTGAAAACTGATGTTAGTAAGAGATAACTTACTCAAAAGAGAAGCGCTCCATCTCGGGTTGAGGTATAGGAAGAGACAAGAGTCAGTAAAAGGACAGCTTTAAGTAAAGACTCAAGAGGAAGCCAGTGCTCACCTACGGAAAAGAACCTACCAGCCAAATCTAACATGCCTATTTTGACTTAGCTGTCATAGGTTACACAAGGATTAGATTAGATTAGTGATAGATTCACCGATTTCTGAGCTAATAATATCAATAATAATCTCCTGGATTATAATGATATACAACACTTCTGCTGGATTTTATAGTTCAGATAATTTAACAAAATTAACACCAAAAATCAATTTTAAATTAATGTCACTTATTGTTATAAATTTAAACATGCAAAATGAAAAAGCTAATGAAAATAAAGAAAATTTATACTTAGCTTAGAGACACATCAGGTTAATGACCAGAGCTGAAAATGCAAAAAATTGGCCTCAGAACCCAATGAAGAATGTGAGACATGCCTTGCTCACAGGCATGAAACCTATAGACAAAAAAAAGTGAATAAAACTAAAGAGCAAAAAGCCAATGCAAGAAATAAAAATACATCAAATAAACGAAGAATACATGCCTTAATAAATTCTTCAGAAGTAACAGAAAATTTGGAAAATATTTTGAGCCATAATTATAAACTTCTCTTTGATTTTTGTAATGCAATCAATGATCTTAAAAATGAACTTTGCTCTGTGTGTAATGAACGATTTCCATCAATTGAACTCTATGAAGAAGAATGCTGTTATTGTCATTATAAAAAAAGTGATCTTAAAAAATTCTCAGTGGAGAACAATATGGATCCTGATAAGAATATTTAAGTGCTTATTGATATAATTTTAGTATACTTAACTTTTTTTAGATGATGTTTCACCACAACTTTAGAGTTTAACTGATACTGAAGAAATGTTAATTGCACAAGTATTTCCTGTCATATCAGTATATACTCTTCGCAGAGAGCAATATGCATATCAAGGAAATGTTATAAATTTTCTACAAAATGTGCAGAAATTTGTGACTCGCTTACTACATAATCCATTATCACTGAATACACTTGTTGTTAGATGCCATTCGACTAATATAATAGATCTATCTTTCATGACTTTCATGTTCAATGAGAAAAAATAACTCAAGCACTCTATTGATTAAATGCTAATAATGTGTTCTACAAAGATATTGATATTGATAATAACATATTGCAATCCTTACCAGAAAATGGATCGATTATTGATCAGCTTTCACAACTATTGGATGATGAAACTAATCATAAAGGATTAAGTGAAGAAAATATAGATTCATATGAAGACAAAACAATTGAAAATGGTTTTAGTTCACAGACCTTTGTGCCTTCTATGCCACCTGGATGTAGTGAGAATAATGCAATAAATAAAGCACTCAACTGAATGCAACAAAACAATTTAGCAGATAAAAATTTATTAGTTGATTGGCCATATATCGAAACTTCACCTATTGATGAATTTCATACTCTCAGGTATATGGCACAAGCATTCCCAACACTCTTTTCTCAAGGTATTGTGAACTTTTGCAGCCACAGAGTCAAAGAAGTAAAGCCAGCAGAATATTTCAAACATCTGCTGCTTTATAAAGATAGTCAATTTGCTCATCATTCATGATGACATTATTTTGCATTAAATACACTAATGAGATGAAAGCATTATCAGAGGGTTGGGTATTTGTTCAACAGAATTTAGAAGACGAGTGATTAACTGCAGCTGAGGTCCTGGACTTAATGCAAAATAATCTTAACATGGCAAACTGTGTGGTGTGATATGATGAAGGTCTACACAGTACTTGGAAGTATTGGATGCATCATAGTGCTGAATTGATGGATATGATAAAACAGCTGGGGCATCAAGGAATGATTTTTTTTACATTTAGTGTGGCTGATTTGCATTGGCCTAATCTGCATAAACTCATGCCCAGTGAAGAAAATTCCGTAAAGGGAGAGACTAATCAAGAAGCTTCAAAATGCAGGCATAAAGATCTCATAGAAAATCCTCACATTGCTGCATGGTATTTTGAAAAGTGTTTTAAAATTTTCTTTGAGAAGGTCTTAATACCAAAATGGGGATTAGTAGATTGGTGGTACTGTTTTGAATAACAACACCATGGTAGCATGCATGTGCATAGAATTGCAAAACAGAAAGAAGCACCTAAAATTGAATAGGAAAAAATAAGCAATAATCAAGAAAAAATGGAGGAAGTGGTATGCTACTTAGACTCGTTAGTAACAACAATAAATCCTGATCAGCATGCACCTTTACCAAGTTACCACCCATGCCAGAAACCCATAGAAAATCTTGATAATAGCCTGCAAGATTATGTTGAATTAATAAACAAATTGCAATGACATATACATTGCAGTACTTTCTATTGCTTGTGAATTAATAAGCAAACAGGTGAACAGGCCTGCAGGTTTGGATTTCCCAAGAAATTGTGCAATCAAATGGTTGTGCAACATAATAATAATCATCTAGAACTGATTACAGTTAGAAATGATCCTCTCATAAATCCTTATAATCGTATTTAACTACAAGGGTAGTAAGCAAATATCAATCTGAAACCTGTTCTTACACTTCATGCAGCTTTGAAATATGTATTTAAGTATGCTAGCAAGGCAGAGCCATGATCTCTGGCTTTCTTAAAGGTCTTAAATAAAGCTCTTTATGATAATATACCTGATAATCCTGCTTTAAAGGCATTTCAGAAACTTTTCCTTTACACAGTGGCAGAACAGGATTACTCTGCCCAAGAAACTTGTCATCTTCTTCTTCAAATGCTACTATACCACTGCAGCAGAAATTTTGTCATTTTAAATCTCAACAAAGAGGTAAATCGTTTGCTTTGTGATAGTGATAAACATGAAGATAGAAAAACAGGTCCTTCATGTCTTTAATGATATTGGAGTAGGCCTGCTGAGTATAAAGATCTTTCACTCTTCAAGCTGTACTTACAATACAAAATCATAAAAGGAAACTGAGTAATATATAAAAAAAAAAATATTATACATATTTGGCTCCGTTCATCTCTGATTATAAATGGTCACTAGTAGGAAGACTTCTGTCATGTGAAGGTTCTTTTACATATGTGCCATAAAGATCTTTCACAACTCACTGACAACAGAAATCTTTTATGAATAGATTTATATAACTGTCATTTTTTAGAAATAAATTCAGCACCTTCCAATTTAATTGGACTTGCAGTGAAGAATATTGAAGATTACAATGAAGATTCTGAATCTGAATCTGAAGACCAGAATAGTATGCAGGATCAAAATAGTAGTCAGATAAATGAACCTCAGCCTGACTGGATAATACTTTCAGAGATGATTCTATCTTCGACATTAATTTACTTGAATCTTGAAACTTGCAATGAAGACATAAGTTACAATATCCTAAATTAGAGAATGTTGAAAATTTTATTTAGCAGGCAATTTGTGATAATACTCTTACTCCTAAAATAAAAATAATGTAGAAATTGATCAGAGCATGCTAAATGAAAAACAGAAAATTATATTCAAATATATAAAATCTCATTATGTTGTCATAGTTTCTGGTCAATATGTAGAGCCACTTAAAATCATCGTTATGGGTATTACTAGAATTGGAAAATCTCACCTCATCAAGATTATCTGAAAAATAATATATGAGATAGCAAGAAATAATAACTTATTGCAAGAACAAAGTTCGTCTCTACTTGTACTTGCACCAATAGGTGTTGCAGCCTTTAATATTCAAGGCAGTATCATTTATTCAACATTCTCTGTTCCGATAACTTCTAATAATTTTGACCTTATAGGTAATAGGCTTAAAAAGCTCCAAAATAAGCTACAGAGAGTTAAATATATTATTATAGATGAAATAAGTATGATAGGACATCACCTACTAGCTTTAATTGATCTATGATTATGTCAAGCATTTTCAGATTACAGTAATCTACCTTTTAGTAGGCGCTCAATACTTCTAGTTGGCGATTTTGGACAACTTCCTCCAATATGTGACCTTCTAATGTACTCTAAAGACACCTCTATTCATCAAATCCTTTATCTGAAGATGGATGCAATGCTTACAGTCAATTTCAGGAAATATATAAACTCGAGGTTGTATAGTGACAGTCTGGTAATTTAGATAAATAATGCAAATTTAGAGACCTTTTATTGTGCCTGCATGATAGTGAATCTATTCAATCAAATTAGAAACTTTTAATATTACAAATTCCAAAAACCTGTCTAAATTGAAGCAAATTCAGTTCTTAGATTTTATTAATATTTTCTTAACATAGAATGAAGTTGACACAGTTAACTTAGCTAAGCTTTGTTCGTTAAATTAGCCTGTGGTTAAAATTTGTGCAGTTCATACAGGTGGTTCTGAAGCTTCAAAAGCTAATTCAGATGTTACCAAAGGTCTTGATCCAGTTTTACTACTAGCTAGGAAAGCATACATTATGCTTAATACAAATTTGTGAATATCTGCTAGACTCATAAATAGTGCAATGGGAACAGTAATTGATATTTTTTTCAAAGATTGACAGAGCAACACTTCTTTGCCCACTGCTGTTTTAGTTTCTTTTTATGAATATCATAGCCTCTCTATAACAACACCAGAAGGAACACAGGCTATACCAATTATTCCAGTTTTGCATACTTGAGAAGGTAAGATTAGAATATGCTCCCGGTTGCAAATTCTATTCTCACTTTTTTGGGCCATTACAGTGCATAAATCACAAGGTCTAATATTGCTGAGGGCTACTGTGAATCTTGGAAAGAAGAAATTTGCAGCTGGACTATCTTTTGTGGCTATATCATATGTTCACTCTCTTGATGATATTCTCTTGAATTCTTTCACATTCAAGAGACTACAGAAAATAAAAAAGTGCAAAAGATTACAAAAAAAAAAAAGAGAGTAAGAATGATTAGTCATAAGTGAAAATGCAACAGCTTAAAAAAGGATTGTATGATACTATAATATAATGAAAATTCATTTAGAATTCAAAATAAAAAGGATACAAAATAAGATACATGAAATTTTAACATTATAGCACTGATCCCTTATCTGCAAATCCAATAAATCTGATTTTAAGATCATAGTATAATTTAACATGATCAGAAAATTTCAAAATGAACATTCGTTGTGTCAAAAATTGCTTATTTCTTAAAAATCTGCACAAAAAACCATCTTTAGGCTCTAACAAAAAGTTTTCCTTAAGTGATTTTACTATAAAATTACCCAATCACTAATATCATTTTATCTATTTATAATTCTATAGTGGATTTTATTTCTGTTCTTTAGTATTCTGCAAGTCTTTCGATAATAAATACTCTATGGCGAGAACATGATATTGGTGAATTAGGCATATTTCCTGTTGTTCTAGAATTTATAGCAGATTAAAACACTAACTACAATAACAATGAATTTTAAAATTTTCTGTTAACTGCAAATCTGTACCACAAACCTGGCACAGATACAATATTAGGTAACGAGTATGTATAGTATATATTCGAAAACATAAATAACTAAAATCGAATAAATACAGTATCAGTATATAGTGCAAAAATAAAAAGTTAAAAGGCACAAAATTCACACTTATTTTTTTCATTAGCATTAGTAAAAAAAAAATTTAAAATGTCTATATTAAGTTATCGTTATATATGATGATTAAGTAACATATGCATGCATAATTGTTTTTATGGATTTAAATGCTGATTGGCTCAATATCACATAAGTGGAACCCAAGACATTTTGTGTATTTATGTCTCCATTGTTAGTCTTTTACTATGCTTTGGACAATAAAAAATATAGTAGAATAGTATATAAAATATTGTATAGTAGATTAAATATAAACATTATATCAAGATGTTTAAAAAGTTAAATAATTTTGAAGTTAACAGTATGTTTGTTAGATCTGTTAATAATAGAATTATTATATTCAGAATATTAGTAAATAACTAAAAGTTGTTCTAAAGTTGTTAAAGTCTAATATAAATATTTATTTATAAAAATTAAAAGAATTAAGCCTTTTGATAAAGTTTGTAATAATTTGTTGTAGTTGAATATTTTATATATTACAAATATTATATAGCTAAAAGCAGTATTGTATGCAAATATTGTTTTGTTAAAATTGTTAAATATAGACAGTTTTGAATAGTATTTTATATTTTAGATAATATTTATATTTATAATAGTTGTCTTATATAATATGTTTTATTAAATAACAATTGGATAATATAGCTATTCTTATTATAATTTTAATTATTCAAAACAAAAATATTGGTGAACATGTCTAGGATGTTACATCTTAAACTGTTTACTATTTATATATATATTCTATAATATCACTAATTGAGAATAAAGTAATAAATAAAAATTATATAAGTTTAACTTTATTTTTAATAAGTTCTATATAACTTATGAAAATTTTGTTGCATGTATTTTGGTTAAGAACAATATTGCCTTTATAATATTTTATTATAGAAATTATAATAGTATTAATAATATAATATATTTAATAGAGTATATTTATTTACTGCAGGTGTAGTATTACTGCATCCTATTTCGGAGATTAAAATATCAGTAATCATATAACTATGATCATATCGGAGTTAATCATGCAGAAATAAACAAGTATAAAGAAAAAATATAACAAAAGGCTTTTTAGTTAAAATAACCCCTATGCACATACATACATAAAATCAACAAAGATTTTCATATATCATATAAAAGAGGAAGTTGCTTAAATTATTACTACATTTAAAAGACACATGAATAAAGCTACAAATCTTCACTTTCTATATTCCATTTTATATTGTTTAGTTTGACAAACCCTTACTTTTTTTTTTTTTTATCTAACAACTTTATAGTAATTTTCAAAGTTAGCTATGAGTACAAAGCCATCATTAAAAGGTAGTTTAATTTGTTGAAAAACAATATGATAGCTTTTGAGAGCAAGCCTGTAGTGAAAGATAAACTTGTTCTTAAAAAATTAGTAAAATATGAACCTATGGAAAGCAAACCTTTAGAGATTATTATCAAAGATGAACTTGTGACAGATGAAAATGTGAAAACCTTGGAGTGCAAAATTGTGAAAAACAGATATGAAAATTTGGGAGTAAGCAAAAATATAAAGACAATGAAAGGCAAAACTATAGAGGATGAAACTATGAAATATAAAACAGTGGAATGTGAAAATATGAGTATCGAATCTGTAGATGATGAATTTATAGAAATTAATGAAGATTAGTTTAAACTACCAAAAATACTGCAGTGTAGTAGCACAAAGCAATTCGATTTTATTTATGTTTTTGTTTTGTTTTTGTTTTAAGGTTTTGAAAATTTTGATCTGAAATATCAAAATTTTAAAAAGTATACTTCAAATCAAACTATAGAAATATCTGTCAGGATGTATTTTGATTTCTGGTCAATCGCAGAAAATTACTTAAAAGGATTTGGATAGCAAAAAGAATTTGCAGTTAATCATAATAGGGTTGAATATCATAAATTTTAACTAATTGAATTAAATGATCATATGGTTAAGAAAAGAACATATATATGTGAGAAAGCAGGAAAGTATAAGTCTAACAAAACTAAGCCAATTGAACAGTAGCATAATAAAGAATCAAAAAAAACAGATTGTAAATAGCATATTAACTTAAGTAATCCAGATGTTTGTGGTTTTGTGCATATAACTTTCATGCATCTTGAACATAATTATATTATTAATACTGAAAATATAAGATTTGCTACAGTGTTTTGAAAGTTTGATAAATCTATACTAGGTGAAATTGAATATGCAGTTGTATATGGGCATTGTGATGCATATACAATAAGAAATTTGTTACAGTCTTTGTTTCCTAACCAACTTTTTCTTACATAGGATTTATTGAATGCAATCCAAAAAATTAAATATGAAAAAGGATTATTGGATCTGATGCTCTTAACTTATTGAAGTCTTTACTTAAACAACAAAAAGAAGATCCTATGATGTTTGTTCAACCTTTAATAAATCCTAATAGTAATCGACTATGTGGTATTTTTTGAATGATGGCAAATCTGATTTTATTATAATCTAAATATTCTGATATCATTTTACATGACAATACTTCAAGGACCAATAAATACAACTTTCCTTTATTATTATTTATTCTTGTTGACAATAATGGTAAATTACAGTTGGGTGCACAGACTTTTTTAAGTAATAAAACTCAGAAGAGCTACGAATAAGTTTTGCAACAAACTTTGGATGCCACTAACATAGAACCCAAGGTTATAATAACTGATATGGATCTGGCAATAGATACAGCATATCAAATAATATATAAAAACTCATATCATGTTCATTGTATATAGCATCTTTCCCAAAATTTACCTAAATGGCTTAAAGCTAAGCTTGAAAGTGCAAATTATAAGAAATTTATTTCTGATTTCTGAAAAGCATGAAATTTATTATGTATTGATATTTTTGAGTATCGATTTTAATCATTACTAAATAAATATTTTTTAGTTAATAAATATTTGAATAATCCTATTTACTCATCTTGTTAGTTATAGGCCAAACCTTTTATAAGCAGAATATTTACAGCTGAGATGCAAACTATGCAATGTATTGAATTTATTAATGCACTTATACATAAGGCAGTTACATTTAGTTCTAATATGTCAGAAGTAGCTAAAGCTTTAGAACTTCATATAGAAAAGAAGGAATTAAATAAGAGTTTTATTAAGTGAAAACACAAATCAATAAAACATTACCAATTATTTATTATAAAGAGATTTTTTTGCAATATTAATAATGAAATTCAGAAATATTTTATACTATGAATTATTGAGGAAATTCATAAACAAATGTGTAAATAGATGCTCTATAAATGTGAAAAGTTAGATATTAGTTATGCTTTTATATTTGAAGACCAATTAGATCAAGATGAATATAAATTTAACAATAGTCAAACAGTATGTTTCATTTCATTTCAATTTTTTTTTTGTTTATATTTAAAAACATTTGATTACAGATACAAATATTGTCTATTTAGAATAAAGATAATTAAAAAGAAAGTATAGAGGATATTGAATATGTTGAAAACATTGAGGATTATTATAATTTTAGACAAACATATTTAAAGTCACTCTTAAATTCAGTTTCAAAAGAGTCAATTAAAGAAGTCTAGAAAATTATTTCATACATGGCATCAAATTTGTATTAGCATATTGTTATGCTTAATGATGATACACATTTGTGCACATGTTTATTGTTAGTTTTACATGGAATTGTTTGTCATCATTTCTTTAAATTAATGGTTGAAAATTTGAATGCTTTATTTATACAATGTTGATGCTAGCAAAATGGTTATATGACAATACATAGAAGCAGGTTGATTCTATTTATAGTGAACTACATTATTACAAAAATGTCAAGATGAGAATAATATGTGCAGTCTTATTCCTAAACATTATTATAATATTCAAGAAGCTCAGATTTACAATCATCTACAAAAGAAAATAGATTATGGTCACATTATGGGACATTTCAAAAAAGTGCTAAACTATTTATTAGAGGATAATAATCAAAATGATTTAGATAAACTTATTCTATCTTATATTGCTAAAAAGAAAACAATGTGAAACACTCAAATTCAACAAGTATATACTAAAAAAAGTCAAGCCTTAGTTAGTATTAAATCATTAGATGGATGTATTTATAATATTGATTCTATTAAAGATCTGGTGGACCTTCTAACAAAAGATTAAAGGCCTCTAATAAAGATAAAAGTAAGAGCAGTAATAGTAAAACACAAATAGTAGTTTATAACAATGTTGAGAGTGATAATAGTAAAATTGATACAAATAGGCATAAGTGTAGATTGTGTTATAAAAAAGGTCATTATGCTCTTAGATGTTCTAATAAGAAAAATAAACAAGTATAATCGAATACAATTGCAATGTAGTATGTATTTCAACTAGTTCTAGAGGAATTTCTAATTATAGTTAGTATAAGTTGCAATACTAATATAAAAATTTCTAAAGTGTTACAAATAACTAGTTGTACTACATTTTATAATAACAATAAGCAATCTGGTCTTTAATGATTATTTTCTTTGTTGAATTAACTCTGTTTATTTTGATTGTTATGCATATTTAGCTTATTATTATTGTTTGATTCTAGTTTTTAAATGTGTTTTTGTAGGTTTTAATTTATAATAATAATCTTTGAGTTTAATATATATTAATTAAACAGTATAAATATATATATATATATAAAATATATCTATTTATTTAGCAAAAAATGTTTTTAAATAATACATAGATTGGTAATAGATTGTTGAATAAATAGATGTATCCTGCATATATATAGATCAATTTCTACTGTTATAGGGCTTGAGAACAATTGCTTAAATTTAAAATTAATTTTTGATTAATTTGATCTACTATTTACATTTAAAATAAAACAAAATTTGATCAAGAATTATAGCAACTTGTATTATAATATTATGCTATTATAAATAAAATATTTGTTTAAGAATATAGTCTAACAAATTATTAAAATTTGACTAAAAAGATCTAAAGCTCTATAATAGTAGAGACTATATATATATATATGCATAAATATGTCTTATATAATGTTATGCATATATAGACTATGTGATTTTTTATTAGCAATTAAATTTAATAATATAAATATCACATAATATATATTAAGGTGGTATATAATATATACTGCACCTTGCAGTAAATAAATATACTCTATTTAATATTAGTAATTTGCTTGATACTTACAATTTTAATAAAATGTAATAATTTTGTTATAATAAGTTTGGTTTGTTTAATTTGTTTATTGTTAAGTGTAAATTAGTATTCAAGAAATTTAAATAATTTGTTTGGTAAGTAAAGATTAAAAAAATAGTTATTGTATATAATAAAAATATAATTAGTTTTTTTTTTAAATACAAATTTAGAAAGATTAATTTGTATATTAGTTATGTTAAAGAATAATTTAGTTGTAAAAAAAGTTTGTAGTAGTTCTTATTATGAGAATAAAATCCAAAAAGTATTATTTATATAAACAAGAACTGAGCAATATGAATTAAATTTGCTGTGTATTTGATATTTAAAATTAGTTAGTTAGAAATTTCATATACTAAAACCTTTGAAGTTATTATAAATCTAATTAAGATTTTTATATTATATATTAATAATAATTTATTAATAAAAACAAAGTTTAAATTGTAAAGTGTAGTGACCTAGTGAAGTGATCAGATTGTTAACTCTCCAAGTAGTAAATTAGATGTTCAAATCCTATCAACAGCAAAATTTTGGATAATTATTAATATAATCTAGTATTATAGCAACTGTTTCTAACAATTAAGTTAAGATATCTGTAATTATGATTACAGTAGCATGGGTCTATATTAGTTCATTAACAATCAAATCACTGACACAACACTTTACCAACAATCAATTTAATGCATGTTTGTTTTACAAACAATCAATTCATTAATACTTAATTAATAGACAAGCTAACTTAATTGATAAGCTTATTTTAACAATAATTAATTCACTGACATTTATTTTACTGACAAGATTGAATCATCAGTGAGCTTATTTTACTAACAATACATTTCACTAATGAGCTTATCCAATAATTAGCTTAAATTACATAATAAAAAAGTTAAATTAGTATCAAATAAGACAAAGAATTAAATTATTTATATAAAAAAATAGAAGCAATTGATACTTAACCTAATTTGTAGCTATATGAACACTTATTTCTAACTCGAATTTATGTAATAAAAAATAATAAAAAATTAGTATTGAGTAAAGAATCAAGCAATTTATGCAATAAAAGAAAGAAGCAATTAATACTTGACCTAATTTATTGCTATGCAGACTTATTTCTAACTCAGATTTATGTAATAAAAAAAAGTATAATTAGTATTAAACAAAGAATCAAGCAATTTATGCAAAAAAAAAGAAAGAAGTAATTGATACTTGACCTAATTTATAGCTACACAAAGACTTATTGACAACTTGTATTTATGTAATAAAAAATAAACTAAAATTAGTATTGAGCAAAGAATCAAGCAATTTATACAAAAAAAAAGAAAGAAGCAATTAATACTTAACCTAATTTATAGCTACATAAAGACTTATTTCTGACTCAGATTTATGTAATAAAAAATAAAATAAAATTAGTATTAAGTAAAAAATCAAGCTATTTATACAAAAAAAAAAAAGCAATTGATATTTGACCTAATTTGTAGCTATATGAAGACTCATTTCTAACTCAGATTTATATAATAAAAAATAAAATAAAATTAGTATTAAGCAAAAAATCAAACAATTTATACAAAAAAAAAGAAAGAAACAATCGATACTTGACCTAATTTATTGCTACATGAAGACTTATTCCTGACTCAGATTTATGTAATAAAAAAATAAACTAAAATTAGTATTAAGTGAAGAATCAAGCAATTTATACAAAAAAAAAAGAAGCAATTAATACTTGATCTAATTTATTGCTATATGAAGACTTATTCTTGACTTGGATTTATGTAATAAAAAAATAAAAAAAATTAGTATTAAGCAAAGAATCAAGTAATTTATACAAAAAAAGAAAGAAGTACTCAATATTTAACCTAATTTATAGCTATATGAAAACTTATTCCCAACTTGGATTTATATAATAAAAAATAAAATAAAATTAATATTGAGTGAAGATTCAAGCAATTTATGCAAAAAAAAAGAAGCAATCAATATTTGACCTAATTTATTGCTGCATGAAAACTTATTTCTGACTCAGTTTTATATAATAAAAAATTAGTATTAAGTGAAGAATCAAGCAATTTATGTCAAAAAAAAAGAAAAAAGCAATTGATACTTGACCTAATTTGTAGCTACACAAAGACTTATTTCTAACTCAGATTTATGTAATAAAAAAAGATAAAATGAGTATTGAGCAAAGAATCAAGCAATTTATGCAAAATAAAAAAAAGAAGCAATTGATACTTAACCTAATTTATAACTACTTGAAGACTTATTTCTGACTTGGATTTATGTAATAAAAAATAAAATAAAATTAGTATTGAGTAAAGAATCAAGCAATTTATACAAAAAAAAGAAAGAAGCAATTGATACTTAACCTAATTTGTAGCTATGCAAAGACTTATTATTGACTCAGTTTTATGTAATAAAAAATTAGTATTGAGTGAAAAATCAAGCAATTTATGCAAAAAAAAAAAAAAGCAATTGATACTTGACCTAATTTGTAGCTATACAAAGACTTATTTCTGACTCAGATTTATGTAATAAAAAATTAGTATTAAGCAAAGAATCAAGCAATTTATATATAAAAAAAATAACAATTGATACTTGACCTAATTTATTGCTATGTGGACTTTTTTCCAACTCAAATTTATATAATAAAAAAAGGTAAAATTAGTATTAAGTAAAGAATTAAGCAATTTATACAAAAAAAGAAAGATGCAATTGATACTTGACCTAATTTATTGCTATGCAAAGACTTATTTCTGACTTAGTTTTATGTAATAAAAAATTAAACTAAAATAAGTATTGAGCAAAAAATCAAGCAATTTATACAAAAAAAAAAAAAGAAGCAATTGATACTTGACCTAATTTATTGCTATATGAAGACTTATTTTTGACTCAAATTTATATAATAATAAAAAAGATAAAATTAGTATTAAGTGAAGAATCAAGCAATTTATGCAAAAAAAAGAAAGAAGTAATTAATACTTGACCTAATTTATTACTACATGAAAACTTATTACTAACTTATATTTATATAATAAAAAAAGGTAAAATTAGTATTGAGCAAAGAATCAATCAATTTATACAAAAAAAAGAAAGAACTAATTGATACTTAACCTAATTTATTGCTATGCAAAGACTTATTTCTGACTTGTATTTATGTAATAAAAAAAGATAAAATTAGTATTGAGTGAAGAATCAAGCAATTTATGAAATAAAAAAAGAAAAAAGCAATTGATACTTGACCTAATTTATAGCTATATAAAGACCTAATTCCAACTTGCATTTTTGTAATAAAAAAAAATATTATTACTAGTATTAATAATAGAAAATATTATTATAATGCTATAGCATTATAGACTATTATATGTAAATACAAAATTAATGTAACATATAAATCAAAACAATCTTTTTGTCAAAAAATAATTTTTTTTATTAAAGTTAAATTTATGGTTAGTTAAATTAAAGTTAAATTTATAGTTAGTTAAATTGAAGTTAAATTTATAGTTAGTTAAATTAAAGTTAAATTTATAGTATTATAGCATCTTTATTCTTTTTTTAATTATATAATAATTTAAAGTAGGAATCTTATTACTTGTTCTTCTTTTTAATTTTCTTTTTTTTTATTTTTTTGCTTCTTTCTTCGATTCTCCTTTCACTTCTTTTTGTGCTTTTTTTTTATTTTCTTTTTATTTAATATAGAAGTTGATGCTTAAATAAGGTAAGTTCTTTAAAAATTAATATCTTAACAAAAAGGCAATTAAATACCTGTAATAAAAAAGTTGCTATGATATCATATTATCCTAGGAAATTTTTACATAAAGCAATATCAAATTTGTGTGTAAAGATTCAAAGTATTGTAAGATGAACATGTGAAAAAAAAAGTTCTAAAATTAAATATTTAATAAAAATAGATAAGTATGTGTAATAAGAAAGTCAAATATTCAATAAAGAAACAATTAAATAAAATATCTTGCAATATTACAGAGTCATATATTTTTTTGCATGTTATATTTAATTAAGTGAAATTACAGGAATTTTTATGCTAATAATTTATAGTTATATGATTATAAATTTATAAGAGTACTGCAAAGAAAAAAACCCAGAATTCTTATAAAATTTTGAGGTTTTTTCTTTGCAATACTCATTATAGTTTGCCTAGAATTAACTAAAATATAAATTCTTTCTCTTATATAGTTATTTATTTATTTATACTGTAAAATGGATAATATTATTTGTGAAGTTGTTCCTTCAATTTGCTGCAAGAATAAACTTAACATTTATCGACATTTAATAAATAAAAATAAAAGTTGTAAAGATATGTTTTACTGGTATTGTGAAAAGCAAGACATTTTTAACTGTAGTGAGCATGCTGTAATGAAATTAATTAACAATCAACATTATCTTAAAAATTCATTAAACCATAATTATGCAGCAGAGGCTAGCTAATCAGTTGTTGTAAAAATGATTACTAGAATCAAGAAGCAGATGCAAAAAACTAATGATAAACCAGCACAAATTGTGCAAACAGCAATCACTAATACCTTACAATATATATACTCATATTTTCCATCATCTAATGCAATTTGACAAATCATTCAAAGATCTTGGCATCTTGACCTTCCTACAGAGCCAGAGTCTTTAAAAAGTTTTGTAATTTCTGAGCATTTAAAAAAAACTTTGAATAAAAAAGAGTTACTGATTAATAATTCTATTGTAAGTTATAATAAAATTCTAATTTTTACTACACCTAATAGTATCTGTTATCTAAATCAATCTCTATTCTGGATCATGGAT